GGGAGCTGGAGGGGAAGGAGGGGTTAGAGAAACAACCTGGGCAAGGCAGCACCCCGTCCCCCGCATGGGAGGGATAGGACTCACCTCACCACAGACAAGTGTCAGCGTCCCTCTCTCTTTGAACATGGAGGTTGGCAGTCCCCGGTGTTGGGACCCACATCCAGCCTCCACCTTCCCCAGACAGTGCCCATAGCTGTTGCCTCCAGAAACCCAACGGAAAGTTGTTGCCCCGGGAGCTGCCACTTTAGTGGTAGGGACCCCAGGGCAGGCTCAGGGAGGTTCATGAATGTGCCTGAAGTCACACAGCCTCTGTGTTTCAGAAGCCACAGATGCCTCCCATGGGACACGGGCATCCCATCAATTGTGGTGACTGATCTCACGGGGGCATAGTAAAGTCCACCCCTGCGGACGGGGTGCAGGGTCAAAAATAGCCACGGGGCTTCCTTTCTTCGTCCCTTCCTGTCCCCGACGTACACTTCAGTCCTAAAAATATTAGTGGGGCAGGATGAAGGGAGTGACTGTGCCTGCAGGGACTAGGGGTAGGGAGGTCTCACAGAACAGAGTGGATGGGGCGGGGGCCAGCCAAGGGCGGGGTATTGGAGCCAAACGAGGTGGGACAGCATCAAGTAGGAGTTACTAACGCAGAAGGGGGACTTCTAGGCCCGGGACCTCCGGGAATGTTTGGAGGTCCTGCCGGGGACTTGGGGCTTTCAATACATGCAGACGGGCTTTGGGAGACGTGGGGACGTGAGTGCGTGGACCGTACACACCAGCCTCCCAGCTCTGGCCACTGCGGTGCCCAGGAGCAGTGGCATCCTGTGGCTGTGAGCTCAGATCTTGGCTTCTAGTACCATTCTCCACTGGAAGGAACCAGGGCTCCTTGGAGAAATGACTGATGGCGGCAAAGGCCAAGATGAGCCGGGGACATCTTACGGAGCAAGAAAGCAAGAAAGTGCTCAGGTAATGACAGGGACACACCGAAGGAGCCAGAAGCCGGTGGAGGGCTCCCGAGGTACAGGTCTGGGGAGATGAGAGCAACGGAAGAGACAGCGCTAGCCGTGGACCGCAGCCATTGAATAAAATAGGAAACCGTGAGTCTGAACCGACAGAGAAACTGATGAATTAAAAGTCTGATGGGACCAGGATGTTTGGTCTCAAATTACCCCTTCCAAACCGCTGCTTAATTGCAAAGGAGAAATCGGGAACTTGACGGGGAGAAGCCGATCTCATCAAGCCGTCCAAGAAAACATCATCTGTAACTGAACAAAGCAAAATCTTACAGCGCCTGACAGGGTCCCCTGAACACACAGCCCCACTTTTACGATATTCCTGCAGAAGAAACACAAGGTAAATCTCCAGGTGAGTGTTGTGGGTAGAATAATGGCCTCCCCAAAGATGTGCACCTCTCGGGGCCTGGAACCGGAGACTTGGAGATGGAAAGATGATCCACGTTACCCGATGAGGTCGATCTAATCCTGTTTCCTTAAAATCGGAAAACTCCCTGGCTGGGTCAGAGACACGTGCTGTGAGAGGGAGCTGAGCCCTCCCCCAGCGCTGGCTACGTAAGTGGAGGAAGGGGACCATGAGGAGGCCTCTAGAACCCAGGGACGGCCCTCACTGTACAGCTGGCGAGAAAAGGTGTCTTGGTCCTCCCGCCCTAAGGAAGTGAATTCTTCCAGCTGCTGAAGGAGCAGGAAACGGATTCTCGCCTCGGGCTTCCAGAACGGAGGCAGTCTGCCCACACCGAGATTTCGGTCGCCAAGATCCCTACTGGACTTCCGCACTATGGAACTGTGAGATAAGGGGTTTCTGCTGGGTAAACTGGTAAGCTGACAGCGATTTGTCACGGCAGCAGCGGAAGACTAACAGCGAGGAGCAAGTGGATGACCCAAGTCGAGGGACACAGCGTTAGTGAGCAAACTCACAGAATTCCTCAAAATTCATAAGAACAAATGTAAACAGCTCTTTAGAAAAAATGGGTGAAAAGGAACAGGCATTCAATAAAAGAAATATAAATGGACGATGACATTTGAGTAGGGCGATTAACTTCATTTGTAATTAAGGAGAACAAAGTAAAACCACAATGAGATTTCATTTTATTCACCAGCTTGGCCACCCTGATGATGCCACACGAAGGTGACAATTTAGAGCAGGGGACTGCAATGTACAGCTTTCAGGCCAGACTGGGCCAGCCAGTGCTTTTATAAATAAAGTTTTATTGGAACACAGATATTCCTCTGGTATGTACTGGTGAGGGCTGCTTTCGAGCTACAACAGAAGAATCGAAGAGTCGTGACCGAGACCATATGGCAATTGAATAGCAGGAAATATATGCTATCTAGATCTTAAAAGAGATATTTATTTATTTATTTGAGAGACAGAGAGAGCAAGTAAGCACACAGAGGGAGAGGGAGAAGCAGGGTCCCCACTAAGCAGGGAGCCCAACGCTAGACTCGATCCCAGGACCCGGGGATCCTGACCTGAGCCGAAGGCAGACGCTCAACCGACGGCGCCACCCAGGTACCCCTACTATCCCTTTACTGAAAAAAGTTTTCCAGCCTCTGATGTAAACGAGTCCTTTTAAGTACTTTGAACAGCAATTTGGCAAAATCCGGTAACATCAAAGGTGTGCATAGTCTTGAATCTATAATTCCACTTCTACAGGTCTGCTCTAGAGAAACTCTAAGGAGGACGGAGACAAGCACCATAACGTTCACTGCACCACTGTTTCTAAGGGCAAATAACGGAACGGCTCTGGTGCCCTCAGCAGGCGCGTAAGTACATGTATCCTGCGCCATTTGAACAATGGAATTCCAGAGCAAAAATGAATGGCTCTGAGGAGCAATTTGACAATGAATCTTGCCAACAGCTGAGTGAAAAAGGAAGTTGCAAAAGAACACATATATATAAACCCATTAGTATAAAAATAAAAAATGCAAAAACGCTCTACCCCAACACGCAGTTCAATTAGTTAGGCTATAACTTTTGGTCTCTTGCAGCAAAGTGCAAAGTAACAACGGCTGAAAGGGGGTGGCTTGTCTCTCCCTGGCAGGGCAGTATGGAGGAGGGTTAGGGGCTGGGATGGCGGCTCTGCTCCATGATGTTGTCCAGAGATCCAGAGATCCAGGCTCCTTCTAGCTCACTGTTCCACTCCCACCACGGTCCGCGTGGCCCAAGACGGCTTCCTCCCACAACCTCGAAGCTGCAGACAGTAGGAAGAAGCGCCCCTAGCTGCAAAGGAGGCTGGGAAGTGCGCGCTCTCTGTCCTAGGCAGCCGTACACGCTGGCAAAACTTGGGAGACTGCGTAAATGAACACGAGGACACAAACAGTAATGTTCCCCACAGTCTGGGCACATGCCCACGGGTGGTAAACCTCTAAAGGAAAGCCCTGGAGTGATAACTTGTCAGGGTAATCACGATCCCAGGACCACTGCGAAGGGGACAGGAAGGTGGATGTGTGGAGGGACCACCAAAGGGTATGTTTAAGTTTCCGTATTAGAGCCGAATGGTGGAGTCATGAGTAGTCATTATTCTCTGTTAAAACATACTTTCAAGCTTCATACTCCATCATAAAAGTGAAAAAGGTTACAGAACGTGTGTGTGATTTATATAAAGAGGAATGAATGGCACATACTATTCTGGCTTTGAATTAAGAACTTTTTTTTTTTTAAGATTCTATTTACTTCTTTTAGAGAGCAGTGGGGAGGAGCAGAGGGGGAGGGAGAGGAGTCTCTTGAGGCTGAGTGCAGCGCCGGGCCTGGGGGCTGATCCCTGGACCCCCCGAGATCACTACCGGAACCTAAAACCAAGAGTCCGTGACTGTGCCACCCAGGTGCCCCTGCATTAAGTACTCTTGACCTGGCATTCCCTCTTGTTCCCCTGGTGCCTGTGGGTGCAACAGAGCTTTCCTTACCTAGCGGCTGCGAGAGTGGAGCTGAGGAACCAGCTTCTGTTCTAAAACATAAGGTCCTCGGGGTGTCCACAACCGGGGACGCCCCTCTATCCTCTCCCAGCAGCCTCGGGTTCCTGGGGCGGTCCACCCTGCTTGGAATTACCTGCGTGGTCCTGAGAAGGCCCTTCCTTCCCGGCCCTCCGTGGCTGTGCATGCCTTCAGCGGACACACGGTGAGTATCTGCCGGCGCCGGGAATCCACAAACGCATCAGGGCTTTTCTCTGTTCTCTCCCCTCCCCAAGCCCTTCCTCCTCCAGTCCCATCTGTTTCTCGAGGCCCGGCGGAGAAGCCACCTCCTTCGGGAAGCCCTTCTAGATTTCTCCGGTCCTCCTGTTCCCCACCCCTGCTGTCCTCTCGGCGCGTGTCCTTTGCTCTGGCGCCGCTGGGACGTCAGACCCGCTGGGCGCCGACCCGCGTGCACTTCCGAAGGGCCGACCCGGGGAGCAGGTGCCACGCTCTCTCCTGCGAGCTGTGTGCCCCTAGCGGGGTCGCCAAGACTCTCTGCGCCTGCGCGTGTCCCCCGTAACCCAGGGTGCCAGCTCCTCTGAACAGGCTCAGGGCGCAGCTCCCCTGCTAGCAAGCCCCGGCCCCCGGCCCCGGTCCCGAGCGCGCGCCCGCACATCCGTCCCGGGTGTAACCGCTGAGAGTGAACCCTTCCAACCGCTCTCCTCCGAAAGCGCCGCGCTGCCCTTCTCGCCTGACCCCACCGACCTTGTCCTGCAGCCCCTGCAAGGCGAGGCTCGAGGGACCAGACCCGCGGGCGAACCGGCCTGAAGCTCGGGACCGGGGCGGGACCGCGGAGCGGGGCAGCCTTCACCCCCGTCCCCGCCCCCGCAGCGGGCCCGGTCCCCGGAAGTCCGCACCCGCTTCCCATTGGCTTGCGGTCCGCCGAGGCCCGCCCCTCCGGGCCACGCCGCAGCCTTCCCCTCGCCGGCCCCGCAGGCCCTTCCAGGCCGGCCTCTCATTGGTGCGTGCTCGCGGAGCCCCGCCCTCGTGCCGTCACTTCCGGGTAGAGAAGCCTGCGGAAGGCGGAAGTGTGCGCTGAGAGGCGGTCGTGAAGACCGGCTGAGGTGGCCCCGGGTGGTCTCTGGCTGCGCTTCCGCGTCTGGGCGTCGGGACGCGGGGGCGGCCGGCGACAGCGAGTGGGGGACGATGCCATGAGGCAGCCGCAGGGCCTGGCGGGGTCTGGAGGTTGACCGTCCCTGCCGCCTTCCCGCGAGGCCGCCTCCTCCAGGCAGTCGCCCGTCCGTGTCAGGGTCTCGCATTCCCGGTGGTCCCAGTGCCTCGGACCGGGGCTCCCGGGCCCTAAGCCCCGCGCGATGACCGCGGCCGCCGCCTCCAACTGGGGGCTGATCACGAACATAGTGAACAGCATAGTGGGGGTCAGTGTGCTCACCATGCCCTTCTGCTTCAAACAGGTGAGTCCAGCGGCGCGGGGTCGCCCGCGGGCCGTCGGGGGCGCTGACCCGGCCGGCGGGCGTCGGGGCTGGGGGAGGCGCTGGGCGGGGTCGGCGGCCAGAAGCCCGCGGTGTGGGACCCGGGGCCCCCGCCGGCCGTGGCCCGAGCGTCCGCGCGGCTCGAGAGTCAGACGCGGCTCGGGCGCGGGTGCTGACCGCAGGGTCCCTGCTACTTCTCCTTGTTTCCTTATTATCGTGGGTTGTTGGTTGTTGTTGTTTTTTTTTTTTTTTTGAGATTTTAAGCAATCTTTAGGCCCAACGCGGGGCTCACACTCGCGACCTGGACATCTGGGGTCTGCCCCCGGGGGGAACCGGCCAGGCGCCCCGCTTCCCCGCCCCTTTCCAGAACTCTGACCCCAGCGCTTGCTTGCTTGCGGGGCGCACGGCTGCAGCCCTGCGGGCCTTGGGACTGGGCGGGGGCATGGGCGCCGAGGTGACCCCAGAGTCCGCCCACGGAGCTGGGCCGTACGTAAGTGTCCGCACCGCCGAGAGGCATCTGAAATCCACTTTGAAATCGGTGCCACGCGACAGTAAGGCCGCGTGGAGAAGAGCCGCGTCCGTGGGGCTGCACCCGCTCGGCTGGCGTGGAATCCACAAGTGAACGGGTCTTTGGTGCCTCACCCGAGGGAGGCTGGTGAGCTCATCAACTTGGGCAACTTCTTCCCTAAAAACGAGCTCCTGGGCCTCACGTGTGCCTGGGCTGGGGTTGCTGCGCCCCCTGCGCCCTGGAGGGGGCTGGCGGGTTGTGGGGGAGGGGCTGCCAGCCAGGGGAGGGGCGGGCGGGCGGCAGGTGGCTGCGGGCGAGGACCCGTCTGGGGATGAAGCCAGGCAGGGAGAGAAGTGGAAATAACGTGGGCGCCCATCGTTTAATTTTAGGCTAAACGCTTTGCATTTTCGTACTTAGCATCTTCAGCGTAAAAATAGCACCAAATTTTTTTTTAAATCTGGAGATTATTAATCCCCCACCTCAGCCTCCCAGCCTGAATTGCTTCCGGGCTCCAGGCCAGTTGCTGATGACCGTGCTGGCAGACGGTGGGCAGGAGGACAGGGACTCTGGCCGCTCTAGAACCCCAGGGGCAGCACCTGTGACCTCACGCTGAGTCCCAGCGTGCCTGGCCACTCGCGGGCCTTTCTGGAAGGACTGTGTGCCCCAGGCTGCGCTGAGACTTGCCCGGCCCGGAGCTGCGTCCTGGGGCCCGTGTGTGTTTGGGCCTCTGTGGGTCCAAGGCTGCCCTCCTCCACGTGGGTCTGTAAGGTCTGTAAGGTGCCGTGGCAGCACGACTCTGCTGGGGCTCCTGGGGAGCGCGCTTTCCCGGGTGACTCAGCCGTGTGCAGATCTGTGTCTGGCGCCTGGTGGGCACGAGGCCCCGGCCAGACTATCGTGCCCAGGAAGGGCTCACGCTTCGTGGTGGAGGCCTGCGTGCGAGCACAGGACCGCAGGGGGTCCCCCCGTGCTGAGGGCCTGGCCGAGCGGGGGCAGCCTCTCGTGTGGGCGCAGCACCTGCTCCCCAGGAAGGCCTCGGCTGGGGCACCGCGGCAGGCCAGGGGCAGTTTGAGGATGTGTGTTGTTGGTGTCCGACAGCCATGTCACGGTTTTGGGGTTCTTTCTGTTTGTTTGATTTTAGTAACTTGGGTACTTTCCGAAAAGAATTAACATTTCACTGAAGGGTGACACGTATACAGAGAAGTGTGCTCTTGGGTGTGTTCTGGGTGATTTTTTAAAAAGTGAACGAACACGCGGCACTAACTCCCAAACTAAGGAACAGAGCGCAGCCGGCACCCCCTCGCCCCTCCCGCCGGGCCCACCATCCCACCGGCAGCGCCGCAGAGCAGGGCACTGTGTCGTGGAAGCGGACTCCTGCGTGCCTTCTCGTGTCCCCGGGCGTCCCTGCTGCGGCTGTGCCGTGTTTCAGTCCTCTGCCTCCGCTCGGCACCCACGGCGTCACCCGCCTGCGGCTCCGTGAGCACCTGCACACGGGCTCGGACGCTCTGTGTGCGTTTCCCGGGGCTGTTTCTCGAGGGCAGGGTGTACGCTCACCTCCAGTAGAGGCCGGTCGGGCACTTGTCTCTTCGGCTTTTAGATCACGGAGAAACCCCTCTAAACACGGGCAGGCAAGTGCGTGAACACGCGTCCGTTTCTGCCGGGTGATGGCGGGGAGTGCCATGGCTGGGTCGGATGGCGTCTGTTCAAGTCCTAAGAAAGGCGTCAGCGCCATTTTCCATCTCTTCCCGCCAGCGTGTGTTCACCGCTGCTAGCTGCTGGCCCGGGGGGCTGGAAGGCGGCATAGTGGGGGGCGCTCGCAGGGAGCCGGGGCGGCCGGTGGTTGGCAGCGCGTAGCTAGCTATGCGGTAAGACTCGGCGGGGCCACGGAGGCAGTGGCGTCCCTGGCACTCTTTCAGGGTCACAAAGCACGTGGTCACCACATGCAGGGAATTGGTCCCTTTCAGTGCTGGGAATTGTCACCTGTAGGCAGAGGAGTGAGGCAGAGCTGGGGCCTGGCATTGGCGAGGGTCGAGGGAGGCCGAGAGGGTGCTCGGGAGCCACGCGGGTGAGGCGGCAGCACCGGGTCACTTTATTTTGTCGCTTTGTCTCCCTCCCCTCCAGTGTGGCATCGTCCTGGGGGCCCTGCTGTTGGTTTTCTGCTCTTGGATGACGCACCAGTCCTGCATGTTCCTGGTGAAATCCGCCAGCCTGAGCAAACGGAGAACGTACGCGGGCCTGGGTGAGGACGGCGGCGCTGGGCGCAGCGGCTGGGCATCCCCGAGCCCTTGCCTGGGGAGTGCAGCATTCGCGATCTGTTGGGGCCTTGCTCCTTTTTTTACTTACTTTCCTTCCACTTCATGCTTAAAGAGCTCCTTGAACAGCAGGTTCTTCCTTATTTAAAGTGTTTTTTTTAAAGATTTTGTTTATTTGTTTGACAGACAGAGATCACAAGTAGGCAGAGAGGCAGGCAGGGAGGGTGGGGGGGGGAAGCAGCTCCCCGCTGAGCAGAGAGCCCGATGCGGGGCTCGATCCCAGGACCCTGAGATCATGACCTGAGCCGAAGGCAGAGGCTTAACCCACTGAGCCCAGTCCCCCGCCCGGCTCCCCACACCCCACAGCCCCAGTCCCCCGCCCGGCTCCCCCACCCCCCACAGCCCAGTCCCCGGCCCGGGTCCCCCACGCCCCACAGCCCAGTCCCCCGCCCGGCTCCCCACACCCCACAGCCCCAGTCCCCCGCCCGGGTCCCTGACGCTGCCTTCCGAGGCGACATCCCGGCCTCCTGTCTTTCCTCCAATTTGGAAGTTGGAGACAGATGAAAAAGCAGAGAATTGTCCAATAAAGACGCTCTCTGGGAGAGAAGGGGCCAGTCCTCCCTGGGACGTTATGTGCCCCCTCACAGGGTAGCCCAGAGTGGGGTCATGGGCTCCATTGTCTACTCACAAACACGGAGGACTGACCCTGCTCCCTGGCCCGGGGTCTGCCGGCTGCCGGCTCTCCCAGACCCTTCTCAGAAGCAGCCACAGCTTCCACGTGGACGGAACCCCGCTGGGCCCCTGTATTTCTTTGTTGAGGATCAAGGTTGGGGGAGCTGGAGGGGAAGGAGGGGTTAGAGAAACAACCTGGGCAAGGCAGCACCCCGTCCCCCGCATGGGAGGGATAGGACTCACCTCACCACAGACAAGTGTCAGCGTCCCTCTCTCTTTGAACATGGAGGTTGGCAGTCCCCGGTGTTGGGACCCACATCCAGCCTCCACCTTCCCCAGACAGTGCCCATAGCTGTTGCCTCCAGAAACCCAACGGAAAGTTGTTGCCCCGGGAGCTGCCACTTTAGTGGTAGGGACCCCAGGGCAGGCTCAGGGAGGTTCATGAATGTGCCTGAAGTCACACAGCCTCTGTGTTTCAGAAGCCACAGATGCCTCCCATGGGACACGGGCATCCCATCAATTGTGGTGACTGATCTCACGGGGGCATAGTAAAGTCCACCCCTGCGGACGGGGTGCAGGGTCAAAAATAGCCACGGGGCTTCCTTTCTTCGTCCCTTCCTGTCCCCGACGTACACTTCAGTCCTAAAAATATTAGTGGGGCAGGATGAAGGGAGTGACTGTGCCTGCAGGGACTAGGGGTAGGGAGGTCTCACAGAACAGAGTGGATGGGGCGGGGGCCAGCCAAGGGCGGGGTATTGGAGCCAAACGAGGTGGGACAGCATCAAGTAGGAGTTACTAACGCAGAAGGGGGACTTCTAGGCCCGGGACCTCCGGGAATGTTTGGAGGTCCTGCCGGGGACTTGGGGCTTTCAATACATGCAGACGGGCTTTGGGAGACGTGGGGACGTGAGTGCGTGGACCGTACACACCAGCCTCCCAGCTCTGGCCACTGCGGTGCCCAGGAGCAGTGGCATCCTGTGGCTGTGAGCTCAGATCTTGGCTTCTAGTACCATTCTCCACTGGAAGGAACCAGGGCTCCTTGGAGAAATGACTGATGGCGGCAAAGGCCAAGATGAGCCGGGGACATCTTACGGAGCAAGAAAGCAAGAAAGTGCTCAGGTAATGACAGGGACACACCGAAGGAGCCAGAAGCCGGTGGAGGGCTCCCGAGGTACAGGTCTGGGGAGATGAGAGCAACGGAAGAGACAGCGCTAGCCGTGGACCGCAGCCATTGAATAAAATAGGAAACCGTGAGTCTGAACCGACAGAGAAACTGATGAATTAAAAGTCTGATGGGACCAGGATGTTTGGTCTCAAATTACCCCTTCCAAACCGCTGCTTAATTGCAAAGGAGAAATCGGGAACTTGACGGGGAGAAGCCGATCTCATCAAGCCGTCCAAGAAAACATCATCTGTAACTGAACAAAGCAAAATCTTACAGCGCCTGACAGGGTCCCCTGAACACACAGCCCCACTTTTACGATATTCCTGCAGAAGAAACACAAGGTAAATCTCCAGGTGAGTGTTGTGGGTAGAATAATGGCCTCCCCAAAGATGTGCACCTCTCGGGGCCTGGAACCGGAGACTTGGAGATGGAAAGATGATCCACGTTACCCGATGAGGTCGATCTAATCCTGTTTCCTTAAAATCGGAAAACTCCCTGGCTGGGTCAGAGACACGTGCTGTGAGAGGGAGCTGAGCCCTCCCCCAGCGCTGGCTACGTAAGTGGAGGAAGGGGACCATGAGGAGGCCTCTAGAACCCAGGGACGGCCCTCACTGTACAGCTGGCGAGAAAAGGTGTCTTGGTCCTCCCGCCCTAAGGAAGTGAATTCTTCCAGCTGCTGAAGGAGCAGGAAACGGATTCTCGCCTCGGGCTTCCAGAACGGAGGCAGTCTGCCCACACCGAGATTTCGGTCGCCAAGATCCCTACTGGACTTCCGCACTATGGAACTGTGAGATAAGGGGTTTCTGCTGGGTAAACTGGTAAGCTGACAGCGATTTGTCACGGCAGCAGCGGAAGACTAACAGCGAGGAGCAAGTGGATGACCCAAGTCGAGGGACACAGCGTTAGTGAGCAAACTCACAGAATTCCTCAAAATTCATAAGAACAAATGTAAACAGCTCTTTAGAAAAAATGGGTGAAAAGGAACAGGCATTCAATAAAAGAAATATAAATGGACGATGACATTTGAGTAGGGCGATTAACTTCATTTGTAATTAAGGAGAACAAAGTAAAACCACAATGAGATTTCATTTTATTCACCAGCTTGGCCACCCTGATGATGCCACACGAAGGTGACAATTTAGAGCAGGGGACTGCAATGTACAGCTTTCAGGCCAGACTGGGCCAGCCAGTGCTTTTATAAATAAAGTTTTATTGGAACACAGATATTCCTCTGGTATGTACTGGTGAGGGCTGCTTTCGAGCTACAACAGAAGAATCGAAGAGTCGTGACCGAGACCATATGGCAATTGAATAGCAGGAAATATATGCTATCTAGATCTTAAAAGAGATATTTATTTATTTATTTGAGAGACAGAGAGAGCAAGTAAGCACACAGAGGGAGAGGGAGAAGCAGGGTCCCCACTAAGCAGGGAGCCCAACGCTAGACTCGATCCCAGGACCCGGGGATCCTGACCTGAGCCGAAGGCAGACGCTCAACCGACGGCGCCACCCAGGTACCCCTACTATCCCTTTACTGAAAAAAGTTTTCCAGCCTCTGATGTAAACGAGTCCTTTTAAGTACTTTGAACAGCAATTTGGCAAAATCCGGTAACATCAAAGGTGTGCATAGTCTTGAATCTATAATTCCACTTCTACAGGTCTGCTCTAGAGAAACTCTAAGGAGGACGGAGACAAGCACCATAACGTTCACTGCACCACTGTTTCTAAGGGCAAATAACGGAACGGCTCTGGTGCCCTCAGCAGGCGCGTAAGTACATGTATCCTGCGCCATTTGAACAATGGAATTCCAGAGCAAAAATGAATGGCTCTGAGGAGCAATTTGACAATGAATCTTGCCAACAGCTGAGTGAAAAAGGAAGTTGCAAAAGAACACATATATATAAACCCATTAGTATAAAAATAAAAAATGCAAAAACGCTCTACCCCAACACGCAGTTCAATTAGTTAGGCTATAACTTTTGGTCTCTTGCAGCAAAGTGCAAAGTAACAACGGCTGAAAGGGGGTGGCTTGTCTCTCCCTGGCAGGGCAGTATGGAGGAGGGTTAGGGGCTGGGATGGCGGCTCTGCTCCATGATGTTGTCCAGAGATCCAGAGATCCAGGCTCCTTCTAGCTCACTGTTCCACTCCCACCACGGTCCGCGTGGCCCAAGACGGCTTCCTCCCACAACCTCGAAGCTGCAGACAGTAGGAAGAAGCGCCCCTAGCTGCAAAGGAGGCTGGGAAGTGCGCGCTCTCTGTCCTAGGCAGCCGTACACGCTGGCAAAACTTGGGAGACTGCGTAAATGAACACGAGGACACAAACAGTAATGTTCCCCACAGTCTGGGCACATGCCCACGGGTGGTAAACCTCTAAAGGAAAGCCCTGGAGTGATAACTTGTCAGGGTAATCACGATCCCAGGACCACTGCGAAGGGGACAGGAAGGTGGATGTGTGGAGGGACCACCAAAGGGTATGTTTAAGTTTCCGTATTAGAGCCGAATGGTGGAGTCATGAGTAGTCATTATTCTCTGTTAAAACATACTTTCAAGCTTCATACTCCATCATAAAAGTGAAAAAGGTTACAGAACGTGTGTGTGATTTATATAAAGAGGAATGAATGGCACATACTATTCTGGCTTTGAATTAAGAACTTTTTTTTTTTTAAGATTCTATTTACTTCTTTTAGAGAGCAGTGGGGAGGAGCAGAGGGGGAGGGAGAGGAGTCTCTTGAGGCTGAGTGCAGCGCCGGGCCTGGGGGCTGATCCCTGGACCCCCCGAGATCACTACCGGAACCTAAAACCAAGAGTCCGTGACTGTGCCACCCAGGTGCCCCTGCATTAAGTACTCTTGACCTGGCATTCCCTCTTGTTCCCCTGGTGCCTGTGGGTGCAACAGAGCTTTCCTTACCTAGCGGCTGCGAGAGTGGAGCTGAGGAACCAGCTTCTGTTCTAAAACATAAGGTCCTCGGGGTGTCCACAACCGGGGACGCCCCTCTATCCTCTCCCAGCAGCCTCGGGTTCCTGGGGCGGTCCACCCTGCTTGGAATTACCTGCGTGGTCCTGAGAAGGCCCTTCCTTCCCGGCCCTCCGTGGCTGTGCATGCCTTCAGCGGACACACGGTGAGTATCTGCCGGCGCCGGGAATCCACAAACGCATCAGGGCTTTTCTCTGTTCTCTCCCCTCCCCAAGCCCTTCCTCCTCCAGTCCCATCTGTTTCTCGAGGCCCGGCGGAGAAGCCACCTCCTTCGGGAAGCCCTTCTAGATTTCTCCGGTCCTCCTGTTCCCCACCCCTGCTGTCCTCTCGGCGCGTGTCCTTTGCTCTGGCGCCGCTGGGACGTCAGACCCGCTG